GGCGAGGCGCAAGGCGGCGGGTCCTAGGCGGCGCAAGAGAGAGAGAGAGAGAGAGAGGAGGTTGGGGAGTCTTCTACTTGGAGTGCAAGACAAGGCTTATGCTTGGAGTGCAAGTCAAGGCTCTCAAGATCCCTAGATATTTAGTTTTCTTATTGCTTTATGATATCTAGATTGTTTAGGTTACTTAATATTTTATTACTTTAATAGAGTTATAGTTAGAATAGTACTAGATCTAGTTGGTGCCTATATAAAGGCCCTTTCCCCATGTTATTTTTCATCATCGAAGAAATATAATAAAATCCAGAACTTTTGTTCAAACACTTTGCTTTAGTTTTTCACCAAAATTCTATTACAATTTTATCCATTTCAAGAGGCGCGGTTGTGGATCGAGAAACACCTATCGGCGGTTCAAGGCGCGGGCAAATGGCTTATCGGTAGTCGGGACACGCGATCTTCATCAAGCACAGACAGCGCGTGACCCAGCGCCAGCACAGTCCAATCGGGGCCCAAACCAAATTTTGACTTTTCCTCCGAGCAACTTGAGTTTTATCACTTAGAAATGGCAGCTACGGGTCAGATAAGCCTCACCCAATCTTACCTTGGCACCAATACCAAGGAGGATGAGGTGAGGAGGGGAGAAAATGACAAATGGGCATATTTTGATGCAAATTGAGGGGCAATCTTCATTAATATAGCCCCAACTCTGAAGCATAGGAGACAAACGTTCAAAAACTTAGAAAAATCCATCCACTCCCGAGAGAAAGCGGACCAAGGTCTGGTGAGCCTTCTTCGAGTCTAAATCGTGCATACCGAGTCTATACCGAGCAGTAAGTGATTCTCTTCAAGTTCTCTCGAGCTATATTGAAACCATAAGTCTTTTACCACCTAAGGATCACTACGAATTAGCCTCCATAGCCTTTGACTCAACCGGGAGTCGTCGTTGCCGAGAGACCCTATAGGAACGGCCGAGAGCTCCTTGTGCTTCAATTTCGAAATTATTTGAAGGTAAACACTTCTCCAAGTCATTTTTCTATTAAAAATATGGCATGCACAAGTAGTATGGAGAATTTTTAATTTTTAGGTTAATTAATGCCTAAATTCGGAATTCTAGTTTCAATGTATGCCAAAGCCGAGTTTAGTACACAAAAAATCATTATAAATCATGTGTATAGTGCTGGTAAAATTTGAGCATGTTTCGAGTTCAAATGCTCGGTCAACTAGAAATCGAATAAATAGGCTAGTTTTGGTCACCCGAGCCATATCCTTATTTACGTGAGTATTTGCCAAGTTTTTAGCACTCAAAGTCATGATATATAAAGGTTTATAATTGGCCTTAATTCTTAGGTTGAAAAGAGTTTAGTGCCCCAGTGAACTAGAACTCAAAATAACTCGATTTTGACCACCGAACCATTTCCAAATCCAACCGAGGTATCCTAGTGTTTCTTGGCATGTTTAAGTATTTTAGATCATGTTATGTTGAATTAAGTTGGTAGTTACCGTAAAAGTTGGCCGACAAGGTGTCGGTCGTGTGCACTGTCCGCACGTAGCGTGCGCAGGGT